AAATAGTCAGTACACACCGATCGAAGAAACAAAATGTTAGAGCTCGGGTAGTCGCTTTTTAGAGCATGTGTTTATGCAGAATGATATATGAGTGATGTTGGAACATAATCTGTATATAAAAGTGGAATCACTTCTCTTATTGTTAATTTTGATTTGCTTCCAATTTGCAGGTTACTGGAGAGCTCCTTGACCGTTCAAGTAGTTGGGATGCTTTGCGTGCTGCATTGCCCGTCGGAACTGTCAGTGGCGCCCCAAAGGTTTTTCAATATATCTCCTCTATTCATATTCGATTTATTTGATGTGCTTCATGGTCTCCTTAGTGGTCATTGATCTTATTGTACTTATGTGATGGGATCAATTTTGTATTTTGAACACTTTACAATGAACTCCAATTGTAATTAGTGTCATGCTTCTACTCACATCCAGATGACATCAAGGTTGACACTATCAAGGCTTCTCACATGATTCTAATCGTTTGTGGCAGTGTTAACCTTAGTGTCTTCTTTGGAGTTAAAAGTAGAGCACTACATTCGTCCATTGCTGAAGCCTTTTGCATTCATATACCCTTTTTCACTGTTGGGGTCTGTGGGGTGGGGGGTGGGTGAACAGGTGAATGCCATGGAACTGATAGATGAGCTTGAAGCGACGAGGCATAGACCTTACGGTGGTGGATTTGGGGGGATTTCCATATTCAGGGGATATGGACATAGCCCTGGCTTTAAGGACCATTGTTTTTCCAACTAGAGGGCGTCATGACCTAATGTACTCTTACAAGGACGTAAACAGACGAAGAGAGTGGGTTGCCCACATTCAAGCTGGGGCAGGTGTTGTGGCTGATTGTGGAATCAAAGGATAATCAGTTGGAGCAAAATGGAGATGATATCACTAACTCTACAATGAACAAGAGAATGAAAGAGGTGGAAAAATTTAATGGAGATGGAGATAAGTCGACGTTCTTCTACTTCAGGCAATTTTATCTCTTTTGATTCAGATCTTGAAAATGCAATAGAACTCTCATAATAAAGGAAGAAAAACCAAAAATAACAACACAATCTGTTAAATATTTAATATTGATAACCTAAGAAACCAATTAGGAAAATAGCTTTCATGATACAGTTAACTTTCACAATCAAAATCTACTGTCACCATTTCCTAGCAATTGCACAAAAAATGTGGTTTACCCTGAAGTATTTTAAAAAAATTTGATTTAATTAATACATTTATACGTTCTATTCCAATTTTGTTTCCCATTAAATTTAGTTATCATACTCTGTTTGTGTTGTATCATTCATTAAAATTCTAACATTGTCTATTATATTTAGCTTCATTTTTTATTATGTACTTAAAACAAACATTTAAAAGAGTTAAAAATAACATTCGTTCGACCCCGTGCGTTGCACGGGTTAAATACTAGTTATTATAAAAATTGAGAGTATTTTGGAATAATTTTTTGGCCCCTTTTGTATGTAAACATGCAATGAAATACTAGTATATTTTGTTCATAGCTCATTGCAACTGGAAAATTGGTAGGAAATTTGATTGGTCACCCAAAAAAGTAAAAAGTGGTTTATATCAAAATTGATAAATACGGAGTATAACACTTAAAAATACAAAATTTAATTTTGGGAGAAAAAGGTTAGGCTCGTGAAGAAACAAAAAAAAAAAGGCCCCGTAATTAAAGGCTTTATTGTGTTAAAAAACAAAAAAGATGTTTGTGAAAATAAAAAAGGTGAAGTGTCGTGAGAGGAAGAAGTCGGGTGTTTATAGATCTGCTCCAGACATTGCAACTTTTCCCACGTACCCTAATTGCAATTTGTAACGGCAAATGGGCATGCTGGCCGTGGCCCCCACGTGTCTCGCATCACCGTACACGTGTCCTCCCACAGAAGACGTGGTGAAACATCACCGCGATGCCTACGTGTCTCCCTCTCCCGCCACTCCCCTCCCCTTAAATACCGGGCACAGTCATCATCACCGATCCGCATGAAGCAGAGAGCCCAACTGCCCAACAACCTTTCCGATCTCTCTCTCTCTCTTCCGTCACCGGAAAACACTCCCGACCGTGGTGGCCGGAGACACGATGATGGAGAGCGCGGGGACGTGGCGGCGGAGGCGGTGGAACGACAAGAGCGAGAAAGAGGTCGTTGACGATGTTGAGTGCGTTCACAGCCAGGTTCTGAAGATCAGGGCGGAAGATTCTAACATCGGAGAGGACAACGCCGCCGAGATCTTCCGGAAGCTCTCGGCGGCCGCCGCCGGCCACGTTGCCTCCGTCTTGCTCGTGCGCCGGCCCATTTTACCTGCCTCCCCTCTCGGCGAGCGGCCACATCATCACAACATCATTTGCTTACGCAATTAATTTCCTATATCTAAGGTTTGACGTCATCTTTTATGGTTTGCTTTAAAATTAAAACATTAATTATGGTATCGTAGGTGTCCCAAATGAACTCGTATAAGTGCCCGTATCACTTATAACTCCAGGGGAGGGAGTGGGGCGGGAGGGGGTAGGGGTGGGGGTTTGGGCCTTTGGGGGGGATTATGAGGTAGGAACGGTTTTTACAATTATTTTTATGATGAGGGTTATGGTGTAACAAAATAACAAATGACACCAATATGTCATTTTAGACTTACTTTCATGAATAAATATTCGATGATTATTTTATTTTGACGTTTCCGGTAATAATTCAAAATTTTCAACTTATCTAAAAGAAATTTAATCAAATTTTTATTTAGAGTGCCGGCAATGAAGGATCGTGAAGGCATGCATACAACTCTTGTCAAGCATCATTATGGATATTACTTCAGAGCATTGCGGATTCTTCAAACAATTGCTACTTAATTATCATCGCATTTGAATATTTGGAGATGGTTCGACGCGGAGACAGACGAAATTCTCTTTAGATCGAAGCGTGTGTAAATAAAGAATATGAAAAAACTTTAATTTTGAGATTATTTGTATGTCACAATTTAAGTAGTTGAGATAGTGTATAAGAGTTTTTGTACATAAAATTTACTCCATTCCAATAAAAAAGTACTCTTTTATGACACCATTAGGCCAAACTTCATACCTAGCTAGCTAGCTAGAAAAAAAAGATGAAATTTATTGTCTACTTGTGACTTTAATTTATTTCTATGATTTGATTTTTTCACATAATTCCAATGATTTCTTAGGTGAGTTTAAATTATATTCTTGAATGTTTGAAGCTTTTTTATTGACTATTAGGATGATTTCTTAAATGTGTTCAAAAGTAATTCACAATAAGATGTGACATCATTTAAAACTCTAAGTGCAAATTGGATTGATTTTTTCTTTTGGTACTTTGGTTAGTTTCATTTTAAAATAAATGCATCATTTTAAGTTTTTATATGATTAAGAAACCCCCTTGAAATCTTAATGCAAGTATTCAAAATATAAAAATGATTTTTCTACGGATTTACTTTTAAAAATGAAAGAGAACAAGTTCTAATTTTAAAAGTTCACTTTGGCATTGAATGTTGTAAAAGATTGAAAGTGTGTTTATTTGTCATACTCCATAATCCCTATCTTATTTATTTGTACTTTCGTTACATTTTTGAAACATCTTACGGAGTAATTCTTAGGCGATTTTCATACACAGTATATATTTATATACTTAAATAATCATTAAGGTTATTGGCACTTTGACATTTTATTACGGAGTATTATATTAAAATTATTTTTTTGACAACATTTTTTAGATAAATTTTGGAATAAGAATACTTAAAGAAACATAGCGATACTGGACCCTTAAGGCTTCAAATTTGAAAAAGAAATAATTGGGCTAGCTGGGCTGGACGTTTCCTCAATGACATGGATATACAATCATGAAGAAGTTATAATAGCCACATAATTATGTTTATCATGTTGTCCTCTTTTTCATTTAATTATATTCCACTTTAGTAAATTTTTTAGGGAGTAATACTTTTTGAATGTATTTCGTTATTTATATATAAATAAAAAAATACATGTTATATTAGTCACATAAGATAATACTTTGAAAGTATTTTATATGATACTCCGTAGTATCTTACCCATGCGGTGCACAAGAATATATAATATATCAATATTTTAATAATTAATTCAGATACATTGTACACAAAAGCAAATGTTTATTATATGCATAAAATTTTTATTTAATCAAAAATCTAAATTTTCGCCAAAAGTAAATGTGTGTGTGTTTATATATTGATATTTACGTATACATGTTTAAATTGACGAACATATTTTAAAAAGTATGTGTTTAAGTTAAAAGAATTGATACATAAATATATCTTATTCATTAAAAGCACTGAAGGTTTATCTCTCACCGACCAATATTACCCGGTGGTCAATCACAGTAAATTTTGCGAGCTTTTCATGACAGTGATCTAAGACAAAAATAAAATAGTGTAATTCAAATAGAGAAAAGTGCACCGTTAACCCCGAGTTCTTTGAAAATTGCATGATTTACACCAGAACATTAAAAAGTGCACCAAATACCCCTGAATTATTCAAAATTTGCACGGTTCACCCCTGAGCAATAAAAATTGCACCAAATACCCCTGAACTCTTCGAAAATTGAACAGTTTACTCCTAAACATTTAAATAAAGACGACAATTTTGAGTAAAGGTACTTTAGAGAATTCACAAGGGTCAGATGAATCATATTAGCAATTCTTGTGCATGAAAGCAACGCACTCCCTATCTAATAGTTTAGGACCAACGATGCAACGTTTTAATTTGGTCAAGGGTATTTGGTGCATTTTTTGGTGTGTAGGGGTAAATCATGCAATTTTCGAAGAGTTCAAGGGTAATCGGTGCACTTTTTAAAGTTCAGAGGTAAAGCCTACAATTTCTAAAAAGTACGGGGGTAAACAATGCACTTTACTCGTTCATATATAGTACCTTCAATTAAGTTTAACTACATTGTAGGATATTAATTGCTAGTTCATCTCTAAATGGTTTCATTGCATCTTTAGTTTGTTCATCAAATAACATCATCTTTTTATGTATGAGAAATAATATTCATAATATTTCTTTTTTATTTTAAAGACAATCATTTAGATAATGTGATAACACCACCACTACCACCACCACCACCACCAACAGCAATAATAATAATAATAATGATAATAATAATAATAATAATAATAATAATAATAATAATAATAATAGTTTATATCAACAAGAATCAGAATGACAATAATTTAAAACCACACATAAAATTTTTTTAAAAACTTTTTTTAGATTTTACAATTTATTCTAGTTCTTTAGATTCTTATAATTTTTTTCCAGTTTTTTTAATTTCTTCCAGTTCCTTCTAGTTTTCAGCTCTTTTTTTCCAGTCATAAAGAAGAGGCCTCAATTTTAGGAGGTTACCTTTTTTTTCTCGGGACCTTTTAAGGCACTAATTCAAGCAGCTCACCCTATAACAATATCTTATGCGAAGTACAAACCAACCAACTCTCCTTCGTTGTACCGTACCCGCGTACCTTTGGTCTTACCCGACGGAGTTCATCTCTCTCGCCGGCGACCGGCCCCCCTCCTCACCCTGCAACTCCGGAGGACTTTGTCTCAATGGAAAACTGATATAGCCTATCGCGCGAGTCCTATACTAGTCCACACTCCAGACGCGTTCCGATGGCCGAAGCAACGGATGCGAAACAACCAATGGCGGAGGCGGAGAGGAAGAAGCCGGAACAGGGCATTCCGTTCTACAAGCTGTTCTCTTTCGCCGACAAGTTCGACTGGGTGCTGATGTTCCTGGGCAGCCTGGGCGCCGCCGTTCACGGCTGCTCAATGCCCGTCTTCTTCCTCCTCTTCGGCCAAATGGTGAATGGCTTCGGCCAAAACCAGTCCGATTTTCACACCATGACCCACCAAGTCTCCATGGTCAGTCACCACCAGATTCTCCACACCTACACAATAATTAAAAAAAACAAGTTCTTCTTTTTTCTTCTTCTGAATATTAATCTTTGTTTAAACCCAGATCTGAATTTCTCTCTTTTTTTCTATCTTTTTTTTTTCAATTTCAGTATGCCCTGTATTTCGTGTATCTTGGGCTCATCGTTTGTGCCTCTTCCTACGCTGGTAAGCTTTTCTGCGTCTTCCATTTTCGCACCATTTTTCTTTGTAAAAATTATTATTTTCCTGATTATCAACCACAAAAAAATCGAGTCTTTAGTTGATTCAAATTGCTAGAAACAATTCTTGATGTGAAAACTGAAAATCTTTCTAAAACCATTTTTCTTCTGGGCTAAAATTTTTTTCTTATTTTTATTAAAAAATCATTTTTGGAGTAATTGAATAGGATTTTGGGAAAAAGAAAATCATTGCTTTGTAATTTGTCTTGTTATATTCGATTCCTTGGTTAAGCCGCTCTCTCTGTTTGGCCCGCGCGGGTTGCACGTGGTCCGCGGACCGTCCTTTATGTCTTTTATCTAAGAATACTAATTTAATTTATTCATATCCAAAGCATTAATTATACTCCGTAATAAATTAGGAGAAAATTAAATTAAAATAAAATAATATCGCCATCAAACGTCTCTGTCTCTGTTCATGTCTCCACAGTGAAATTTCGGTTTCCTAACTAATGTCGTCTTTTTAGCCGCACTGTAGCTTCTAAATACAGTGGGCAGTAAAAAGAAGTTGAATCTTGAGAATTTTTTTAAAAAAAAAAAGAAAAGAAAAAAAGGGGGGAAATTATATTATAACAGAGTTGAGAATGGGGTGCGCAGAGATAGGGTGTTGGATGTACAGCGGGGAGAGGCAGGCGGGAGAGTGGCGGCGGAGGTATTTGGAGGCGGTGCTGAAACAGGAAGTGGGCTTCTTCGACACCGACGCCCGGACCGGAGATATCGTCTTTAGCGTCTCCACCGATACCCTCCTTGTCCAGGATGCTATCAGTGAGAAGGTACCACACTTTATTTTTCTTCAAATTACTCCGTATTTAATTAGCATTATAAGTCTTTGTTTCATCATAAAAACAGTGAATATTAAATTTTGAAATATGAAATATAACATGGGTGGGGTTCTAGTGACACCGGAAAACGGTGCCACTGCATTTTTTGGGCACCTCCAGTGCTCCGTTGGTAAACTTGAGACTTCCTCCTCCTAACCCACCCCCTAAACCTCCCATCCTACCCCCACCCTTGCACCCCACTCCAACACTGCCGTAAGCCTCCCACAAAATGTATGGCTATTATGCATTGCATAATAGCCATACATTTTGTGGGGGCCTTACGGCGGGGTTGAGGTGGGGTAGGGTGGGGGTTTAGGGGGTAGGAACTGTCAATTTTACGAACGAGGCATCGGATGTGCCCTAAAAACGCAATGGCACCTGAGTGACACTGTTCTCCGATGCCACTAGAACCGGGCCGATGTAACACACTTTTATGACGCAGGAATATAAGGATTAACATTGTGAACCGTATTTTGGTGTCAAAATATTTAATGTCCTATTTTAGTTTGCTTAGTTATTTAAAAAAGGGCAATTCTCTTTCTCTTTTAGTATGGCATCACCAATTTCATTATGGGCATGTTTGGTACACGAAATTAACAGAATCAAAATTTAATTAAAAGTTGAAATTCTAAGAAATTGATTTGGATGGAATTAAATTCTCCAATTCTAATTCATTTTTACACTAGCAATTCTAAATAAATATATTTTCGTACTACCAAATAGTAAATTTAGAATTGTTATCCTCAATTTTAATTTCATAATTTGAATTCGTGTACCAAACAAACCCTAGCTACACATATATATTTTGGTCAATTGGATTTGAAATTGGAAATTTTGTTAGGTGGGAAACTTCATACATTACCTCTCAACGTTCTTGGCGGGACTGGCGGTGGGTTTTGTGTCAGCATGGCGGTTGGCGCTGCTGAGTGTGGCGATCATCCCGGGAATTGCCTTCGCCGGCGGCCTCTATGCTTATACTCTCACCGGCCTGACATCCAAGAGCCACCAGTCATACGCCAACGCCGGCGTCATTGCCGAGCAGGTCACACCATTCTTCAATCCTTTCTACAATCACACTATACT